GCTCGACCCCGCCCCCGCCCCCGCCCACCCGCACGACAACCCCGCGGGCACCCTGCAGGGGCCTTACTTGCCGACCTACAACGACTATCCGCAGGAGCACCTCCCCGCGCATCCTCCCTCGCATAGCCCGCAGGAATTCTTTCCCGGCCAGCAGCGCCTCCCCGCGGCCGCCGCGCCGCAGAGGAACCCCGCCGACGACGCCCACATGGCGGAGATGTTTGGACACCAGGCCTATGTCGGCGGACCTGGGTATAGTGCGTATGGAGGGGGGTATCCGGCCCAGGGCGTGCCGCAGATGCACCCGCCGCAACCGCCGCCTCCGCAGCAGTACCACCAGACGATGCCGGCCCCGGAGGCGGCGCCTATCGGGTGGGGCGACGTCATGAGCGTGCCGTCGCAGCCGATGTTCGCCGCGCCGGCCCATGGGCACAGGGGGGTCCTGGATATTGACCCCATGCTCGCGGATCGCATCCGGAGAGGGAGGGAGCTTGCGAGGCTAGCCATTGCGCAGGAGGAGCAGGGCAACCTCGGCGCCGCGGAGAACGGCTACATGAAGGCCCTGGAGTTGCTCGTCCCCGTGTCGAAGGAGCTGGACGTCGGGTCCGAGCTCGATAAAGACGTGCGCATGAAGCAGAAGCAGAAGCTCCACCGCGAGGCCGCGGCGATGATGGATCGCTGCGAGGAGATCCGGCTGTTTCTCAAGGCGAATGGGCCCGCCGTGCCCAAGGAGATGCCCAGCGTCCCTGCCTTGCCACACGTCAAGCCGCCGCCGAGGAAGCGGAATGACTCGACGCCGAAGCCGCCGGATCACGACATTTCGTCGTCGTCGAAAAGTTCCACGGCCGAAATGTCGCGTCCGAAAATGGCCCAGTCGAAGGTGGACGCCGCGCCACCGACTCGCCCGCCGCCGCCCCCGCCGCCGGCGTTTGATGGCGACTCTGTGGATCTGCTGGAGCGTATTTCGAGCAGGCGGAACGTGTTATCGGCAGCTTCTGCGAGGATTCATGCCGCGACGGGAGCTCCGACAGAGACTGGGACGGAGAAACGGACGGGAGGTGGAGATCTGGCAAAATGCTTTGTCTGCAACGCACCGGCAGAGCTCAAGGGTAAGTGCAATCATACGTTTTGTACCAAGTGCGGCAACCAGGCTGCCAATGTATTTGGGGCCTGCCCGAACCGGAAGTGCAACGCTCCGCTGTCTGCGGATGGCTTTGATAAGCTCTTGTAAACGGGTCCGCAGTCAAACTGTTTTCCAAGACGGACTACGCGCTCGAATTGATAAAGGATTCACACAGAAGAATAAAGAGATAGAAAAAGGGTATGCTCCCAGGAACAAGATACAGAACACGTCGAGAAGGCAATTCTATTTTCAGCTAACCTATGTACAGTTAAGATGTTAACCGGCAGGCACATTTGCCTAGTATGAGCTTGAGAAGGCGCCGCGTGGGGCTGAATAGCCCTGCAGTTCAAGTGACTTCTTGGTGAGCATGTCGAAATGGCGTACAATTCTGTTGTGGAAGATTTGTCTATCCTTGCGAAAGTCATCCACTCTCGGGTCGCTAGCGTTGAGGCCCGCTCCACTTTGCCTCAAGTCAACTGCATCCATGAGCTCGGAGTCGGGTTTTACAAACTTGCGGGCGAACAAGCTTCTGGTAGTGGCAATGTATTCCCACCTCGACATCACTGTCGAGCCGCCGTCGAGCGCAAATGGATGCTGCCCCGAGCGCTTGTTGCGCAAATACCACACAACTTTTCGCAGTGCATCGGGCACAATTGTCTTCCTCCAGAATGAGTGATTGTAGAGCACATCAGCAAAATAATGCTCAGGAACGGAGAGCACGTGCATATGGTTGATCAGCATGCGCTTTGCGAAAGCGCTCCGGACAACAAAAGCTACAAACGGACGCGAGAGGATCATCCACGCCTCCGCCTTGGTGAACACAAAGGCACGATGTCGCTCAAGGGGGTTCTCTCTTAAGCTGCGTATTAGCCTAAGCCTAGACTTTTCGCTCTGATACCCCACGGCGGCGGGGTCCCAATGCATGTTGCGGATGCGGAATTGGTACGGCTTCCACTCCTTTGAGGGGAAGAAGGTGACAAAATTGAGGCGGCCGATGGGTACATGAGGCCGTGCAAGCAGAGACATCTGGCGCTCCACGGAGAGGAGCGGGTAATCCGCGCCGCTGAGGTTGATAAAGTAGTGCCAATTGCTCGACTTTTCCAGCGCCATCGTCATCGCAGACAATGTATTAGTCACCATAGAAATAGCCTTGTATGTGACCATTTCACTCTCCATCACGTGCATATTCTTCACATATCTCTCATCAGCTTCTACCAGATCCGCAATACGACTTCTCGTCGCCGGGTCCACCTTGGCATCCACATGCACGACGTACACATTCTCCGGGTGATGTATTCTCTCAAACAGCCTGGGCAGCAGCGGCACGGAGTCCAGCCCGACCTGCACGAAGTAAGCAATGCGCACGCTCTCCATCTTGGCGGCCTCGGTGCCGTCGTCCCTCTGCACGGCCCACGCCTGATCGAAGGCCCTTGCGCAGGCGCCGTCGGCGAACGCGCTGCCGGCGCTCTGCGGCTCGTGCGCGCGCGCGAGGACGGCGTGCGTAGGGTGCGAGCGCAGCACGCGGTGGTACCCGCGGCTCAGCGCGGCGCGCCGGCAGACGACGAGCAGCACGACCGCCGCCGCCACCGCCGCCGCCGCCACCCGCCATGGGTGGCGCAGCGAATGCCGCAGCGACACCGCGCTCGTGCGCAGCCGCTTCACGAGCAAGGGCAGATCGCCCCCGCGCAACGTCAGCGGCGAGAACGGCCGGTGCTTCTTCGCGGAGCTCGACATGGCGAGCGCGACGCGATGCCGGCGCGCACTCTCAGGGCGGAGGATGAGGAGGCACCATCCTCCGAGAAACGGCAACTTTGAGGGTGCTGTACTTACCATTCAATGTACAGCAGTGCCGCCGCATGAGCACCAGTACAGTGGCAGCCTTCAGATCATTGATCCAAACTGCGGTCCTCACTGTTCCACGCCCCGTGACCCAACGGGGCATCATCCAAGGAATCTCTCACCCCGCCATCGCCACCGCCTCCGCTTCCGCGCTCTCCTCCCCTGCCACCCTTCCACCTGGCGCCGCGCATCCTCATCCCTCCCACTGCCATGACGACGCCAGCCGCGGACGCCGCGGGCGCCGCGGAGCTGTCGCGGTGCGAAAAGTTCCGCGACGAGGCCTTCTCCAGGTACGTGCCGCCCCGCTCTTCCCCCCGCGCGCCTACCATTCGCGCGCCCCCGCAACGCGCTAACGGCCCGCTAGCAACCCCGCCGTGCGCTTCATGTTCAAGCACCTCAAGCGCGGCGGCTGCGAGCTCGACCGCGCAAAGGTCGAGTGCCGCCGCTGCGACGGGCAGCTCGCCGGCGGATTCCAGGACGACGGCGGCATCCTGCTCTGCTCGAACCATCTCACTACGCAGGCGCACGCGTCGAATACCCTCGTACACGAGGCCGTGCATGCGTTTGATGCTTGCCGTGCAAAGGTTGACTGGGGGAATTGCGTGCATCATGCGTGCAGTGAGATTAGGGCCGCGACGCTGTCCGGGGATTGTGACTTTACGAGAGAGGTACTGCTTAGGCGGAACTTTGGCTTTGCAAAGCAGTTTCAGAGATGTGTTAAGAGAAGGGCCGAGCTTTCGGTGTCCCTCAATCCCTATTGCGATCCACTCGAGGTACGTTAACTTTTTCTCTGCTCGTCTTTGGTGGTCGTTGGAGCCTTCCTAATGCTGTATCAGGAACAGCCGCTCTCATTGATAACCCTCATCGGTGACTCTCATCGATAACACTCGAGCTAGTGTCCATATATTCTAAAGCGTACATTCCCTTTTGCGTCTCGCGTCTCTTACCCGGCTCGCGCGCAGACAAAGCTAGCAGTTCAAGAGGCTTGGGACTCGTGTTTCAACGACACGGCCCCTTTCGAAAAAATACCCTGACGATCCACAACCGCCAACCTCAGTGTATGTAAATGTCTCTATATACAATGCACTCCGTCTAAATCCCTAATAGCAGCACGAGCATTCAAACGGGCACGCCCCGTTCAACCCCTTAGGCTGATCGGCCGCGATGTCATCGTAAGACAAGATGCGAAGTCCATCATCCGTATATCGCGCGGGCAAACCCTGGTGCTTCTTTGTCTTTCCGTTCTTCTTAGGCGATGGCTTGGCCTGCTGTTCCTTTTGCCGTTGAGCGAGCTGCGTCGCCTTGTTGGCAGCACGCTGCTTTACGAGATCGTCGAACAAATCGTCTATTTCCTCCTCATCATCGCTGTCTGAGGAGGTTGCTTTCGGACCGTTCCCATTCGCCACTACCCGCAGGAGTTTCTTTGGCGATTCCATGCTGCGTGACCCTTTCGAGGGAGAGGCGGGGATGTGGGGACGCTTCCGCTTTTTCTGGTTGAGTCCCTGTGACGCAGTTCCATTGACTTCTGGCGAGGCTGTTGCCTGTACAGGAGTTGTTTGCTTATTAGGCGACGGGGAATCCAATGCTGCCTGAGTATGTGACGTCTTCCTCTTCTTTTTCTTCGCACGGGGGGTCTGCGGCGACGCGTCACCCTCCAATGGGGAATGGGCAGGCTTCCCGGGTGACTCAATTTGCATAGTGTCGGACAGTTGAGTTTGCTCGTCGTCAAGTGCTTCTGCCCTGCGGCGTTTGTTGCTCTTCGTCTTTTTCTTGCGATCCCCTGGGGACTCGGCGGCGTTCGTAGCTGGAATCTCCACGGCAATCGGTAAAATCCTTCTTCGCACGACAAGAGTGTGGTGAGATGGATCGGCATCTGGGTCGTTCGAAGGGAGATACACCGGGTCTTCCTCCTCGTCATCCTCGTCGTCATCGCTGAGGTCCCCCCAGGAGCCATTGACGGGCTTGAAGCGGGTGCTCCTCGCAAGCCTCGGTGCGTCGGTATCGGCCAAGAGCAGGTCCAATTCCTTGGTATCGGCCATGATTTCATCGAGCCTCTGCCTCGCGATGGCGCTCTCCGACACGGCGACGCCGATGGGGCTTCTGACGGCCTGCGGGATGGGATCTGCGGGGGCGGCGGGGATCTCCGTGACGAGGACGTCCTCCGCGAAGCGGACGGCGCGCGCACCGGCGGGCGCCTCGCTCTGCCGGCGCTCCTCGCGCAGGCGCTTCTCCTCGCGGTCCCAGTTCGCCACGGCCTCCTCCCGGCGCAGGCGCATCGCGTCCGCGGCCTCGCGCTGCTGCTGCCGCTCCCGCTGCAGCTGCGTGAAGCGCGCCGTGATGGCCGCCTGGCGCTTGCGGCGCCGCCGCCGCTGCCGTGCCGTGAGCTTCTTCCGGGCGGGGCTCATGTCGACGCGCACCATGTCCGGGAGGGCGGAGGGGGCGCAAGGGGTCTGCGGCTGGGCGGCGGCGTTGTGTAGGTGTGGTTGTCTGTTTGCTTGTTTGTTTGTCAGTTGCGGATTCCCATGAGACGTCGGCGGTGGCGGCTCGCTGCCGCCAACGCCGACACGCGGCCCCGATCGGTCGGTCCGCGTTGGTGCCAACGCTGCCAGCAGCTGGACGCGGGGACTGTAAGATTGTCTCTGTAAGATTGTCTCTGTAAGAGCGTTACTGTAAGAGCGTTACTGTAAGAGTAGGACGGTAAGATATATACTGTAGGTGTAGGATCGCGGACTGTAAGAGCGCGAACGGAGTTTGGAGACGCTTGGCGCGGCGTGAGTGGCGGTGGTGCGGGAGCGGAGCCAATGGCAGGGCGTGGGTGGCCGCTCCGCAGACGGCTAAAACATCGCCAGCGGAGATGCGCGTGGCAATCTGCCGCGCTGTCCTTGCCGCATCGCCACGTGTATTCACAGCACACCTTCACTCACACTGCTCACTGAAGAAATACGCTGTCCGAGATGCTCATCCCCCCCACTCACACCTCCCGCTTCACCTTGCCCTTCCCCCTCTCTCCCCCCCCCTTCTTAGCCATGTCCGCCGCCTTCACCAGCGCGCCCCCCTTGCTGTTCCGCGGCGCGTCCGCCCGCGCTGCCGTCATCCCGCGCCGCTCGCGCCGGGCCCGCCCGTCGCGCGCCCCGCGCATGTCCGCGCGCGCCACCGCGCCCGGGAACGCGCTCACGCTACACGTGGACGCCGCCTCGCGCCGGTACCCCATCCTCTTCGCGAACGCCGTGCTGCACAAGCCGGAGACCTTTGCGCCGTACCTGACGGGCGACAAGGCCCTGGTTGTCACGAACACCACCGTCGCCGCGCTCTACCTGGACCGTGTCACGGCCGCGCTCGCCGCCGCCGGCGTCGCCGTCTTCGTCGAGGTCCTCCCGGACGGCGAGGAGTTCAAGTCGCTCGAGTACGCCGCCAAGATCTGGGACGCCTGCATGCGCCACCGCCTGGACCGGAAGAGCACGCTCGTCGCGCTGGGGGGCGGCGTCATTGGCGACATCACCGGCTTCGCCGCTGCCGCCTTCGTCAGGGGCGTCCCGTTCATACAGGTCCCGACCACGCTGCTGGCCGTCGTCGACTCGTCCGTAGGCGGCAAGACCGCCGTCAATCACCCCATGGGGAAGAACATGATCGGCGCCTTCTACCAGCCGCACGCCGTCGTCGTCGACACCGACGTCCTCGCCACGCTGGACGACCGCCAGCTCGCCGCCGGCATCGCAGAGGTCGTTAAGTACGGCATCATTCGCGATTGGCAATTCTTCGAGTGGTGCGAGGCGAACATCGACCGCCTGGTCGCCCGTGACCAGGCCGCCCTGCGCTACGCCATGGTCCAGAGCTGCAAGCACAAGGCCGACATCGTCGCGGCCGACGAGCGCGAGAGCGGCGTGCGCGCCACTCTCAACCTCGGCCACACCTTCGGCCACGCCATCGAGGCGTGCATGGGCTACGGCGCGTGGCTCCACGGTGAGGCCGTCGCCGCCGGCATGGTCATGGCGTGCGAGATGAGCGTGCGCATGGGCTGGATTTCGAGCGACGTGACCCAGCGCGTGGAGCGCGTGTTCGCCCGCGCTAGCCTCCCCATCCGACCGCCGCCCAGCGTCACCCTGCAGAACTTTATGACGTACATATCGGTCGACAAGAAGGTCGAGGCCGGCGTCCTCAGACTCATCCTGCTCGAGGCCCCCGGAAAGGCTGTGCTCACCGCCGATTTTCCGGAGTCCGTCCTGTTCGACACTATCATGCACTACCACCAGCTGTACAAGGCCAGCCCCGGCACGTACGAGCACGCCATGCTCGGCCTGCCACAATAACTGCACATACTAGCCGTAGACAAAGCGAGACGAGTAAATAGCAACAGGAACCCCGTCGCACTATTATTCACCCACAACCTTGCCAGCAAGCTCCGCCTCCGCCTCGGCCGCCGCGACGCGGAGGCGAATGGGTCCTCGCACATCGTCCAGCGCCTCAGCGGGGACGGCGCGCCCGCGCTGCAGCACGACCAGGCGGCCCTCACGCGCCATCTCGTACGCCGCGCGCCGCACCGCCGGTATCTGCGCGCGTCACTCGGGCGCCAGCCTGCGCGCCGCCTCCGACGGGCAGATGCTCTTGCGCGGGCCGCGCGCCGCCACCAGCGCCGAGATCGTCGGCCAGATGAGCAAGGGG